GCAGAAAGAGAGGACAGAAGAAAGATTTGGTCCATTTTCAAGCAAAACTTGCAATATAGAAAAGTAAGGAATTTCTGGATTATAAAACAAAAGCTTTCTTGTTTATAATCTCTTAAAGTCGTAAAAGATGCTCAAAGTAACAAACAAGTTCCGGGTAAATATATACTACTACTATTACTACTACAGCTACTAAGTAATAGTAATAATAGAGGCCATGTTGTTAGGCCCTCCCGGGCTTTAGAAAGTCAGCAGTCAGTGAGATGACTCAGCAGGCAAAGGCCAAGGCTGATGACCTCAGTTGCATCCCTGGGATCCATGTGGTGGAAGGAGAGAACCAACTTCCGTGAGTTGCCTTCTGACCTCTGCATGTACACTGTGGCGTGTGCTCATATGGGACTCGTACACACAGATAAACAATCCTTTAAAAGTCACCAGTTAGCAAGGAAACACTGCCCCCCCAGCCCCACCCTACGAGGGAAGCGACATTTAGCTTCTTCAGGTATCTCTGGAAGCTTTTTGCAATGAACAGAAAGACTACGAGACCCTTGAAGAGAAACTCTGGTGTATTGTGTTGGCGAGGGGTAGGTGTTCAGCTTGGTACAGAAAGGGATGGGACCATAGAGAGACGCTAGACTGGAGGAAGGCCTGTGGGTCATGTTCTGCTCTCTTCTACTCTACCTTGTCCCAGGAAGATTATTATTAGAAGGAAGAGTCCAACAAAAAAAGTCCTGTATGAGGTCAGAATGACAAACAGTTGGACACACAAGAGAGATCCGTGATGGATGGAGGCTGATCTGCCATCTCTAAGGAGAGTGTGTTTCTTTCCACTTCCCATCTCCCTATTCCCTAACGCTGAAATTTAGCTGATGTAGCACCCAGGGGAGACAGCTATTAAAGAAGGGATGCACTCAGTCAGGGGCACTGTGGTGATGAATTTTGTGTGCCAACTCAGTTATGTTACAGCCTAGCATTCAAATGTTTATTTAGATGTGACTAGGACCATATCGTAGCAGTCATTTAATCCAAAGGCAATGAGTTTAGGAGAAATCAGCTTAGACAAACAAGGATGGGGAGACTGAGTTGGAGATGCTTGAAAAGCAGAGCCAAGGCTCCCCTGATGAAGGCGTTCTTGCCAAGGGATTCTGAGCTATCATGTTGGCAGTCTGCCTAGGTTTGCAGCTGGCAAGGCAACCCCCAAGCACATGCAATGGTGCCGTTCTTATTAATGCTTAACCTATTTGTTTATCAAATTGAACCCCAACTGGAAGAGATTGAGAGAAGTTTCCTGATACAGAGTCATCTACTGTAACATGAGGGGGCTGGCTTGTTGGGGTTTCCATCCCGCCCGGTACCCCACAGCCGGCAAATCCCAAAGAGAAATCACACACAGGACTCCATAAGGTTATAAACTGATTGGCCCATTAGGTCAGGCTTCTTGTTAACTCTTATAACTTATGTTACCCCATTATCCTTATCTACATTAGCCACATGGCTCCGTACCTTTCTCAGCTGGGCAAGTTACATGCTGCCTCTTCGGTGGTCTGCACAGGAGTGACGGAGGGAGCTTCCTGTGTCCCAGAATACTCCCAGTCTCTTTGCTCCACCCCTACTTCCTGTCTGGCTTTCCCACCTATACTGCCTGCCTGGCCAATCAGCGTTTTATTAAAATATGATTGACAGAATACAGACAATTCTCCCACACCATTTCCCTCTTTTTTTTTAAACAAAGGAAAATACCCATAATCCATTTGTTGGAAATGTGGGCGTAGTATTTCAGGCTACTTCCTGCTGGTTGGGGGCGCTGATGATCTTATGGAGACCTAAAGAGAATTTAGAGTTATAATCAAGTCCTGACTGGAGTATCCTGTGAGTCTTGATTATCTCAGGCAGCGGTCTTGAATCTATTCTGGATGTAGAACTCTGTCATCTGGGCCATCTGTTCCTATCGGAGATTCCTCAGGTGGTCTTCCTTTTTCGAACCTGATTTTTCTTAACTCAGAATGAATCCACAGCCTCTCATTTTCTGTGGAAACAAAAGCAAAATCTCTTCTCCAAAGTAACATACCTTTTGACTTCAATTTTGAAGCCAAGGTATTTTCAAAATACCTATCTTGGATTAATTCTGTAGCATTTATAAGCAAAAGTCTTTTGGTGACTGTTGCTCCTTCCTCAGCATTCAAACAATTCAAAGAGAGCATAATAACACACAGTATCAAGATTCTCTGTGTATTTTCCATCTTTATGTGGCTTTATTTCAACCTCTATTTCTTTTAATTTTACTTTTAACTTTTGGCTTTTTGAGACAGGTCCTCTGTATATATCTTTGTCCTGGAATAACTCTGTAGACCAGGCTGTCCTTGAACTCACAGAGACTCCTCTGTCTCTGCCTCCCCAGTGCTGGGCTCAAAGGTGTATGCTACCACACCTTGAACTCACAGAGATCTGTCTGTCTCTGTCTCCCAGGCATTGGGATTAAAGGCGTGTGCTACCACATCTTGAAGTCACAGAGGTCAATCTCTACCTCTGTCCCTTGAAGTCACAGAGGTCAACCTACCTCTGCCTCCCAGGCATTGGGATTAAAGGTGTGTACCACCACACCCTATTTCTCCCTTTCTTTCTTTTTTATTTTTAATGACTTTAACCTGCATATATTTTTAATACACTGTAAACCATTTAGAGGTTTTCTTCAACTTTGAATCTTTCTTTTACTATATATCTCTCTTTTTCTGACTACAGGAGTCTTTAATTTACTAAGCAATATCAGTGGGACTAAAGCTGGATCCAGCCCATTACTTAGCTTTCCAGCCTCGTGGCTGAGGTACCAGCCAGAGCTGTGTTCACTGCCACAACTCTATGGCGTTTCAAGGTCCTTGCCAGCAAGCAAGCTGCATCATTCTGCTCACAGACCACACTCAGTTGGACTGCCTGCCTGAGTCAGAGTTTGCACTGGCAGGACGGCCCAGAAAGCCAGAATTTTAAAACAGCGCAGCTTTTTTCCTGCTACAACTGAAAACCTAAAAGCATATGTTCAGCTTTTCATCTACACCGTTTAAGTGTTTCGTGGCAGGACCTCTTAAAGGAACTGCAAAGTTTTGCAGCTAACGCTGAGTCAGGAAGCCTCTCTTAGATGAGAGCATTTACTTGCCTCTAGCAAGCAGAGCAAACCCGAGAAATTGCTGCTACCAACAAAACATGCTTTACTCTATTCTTTCCCAAGCTTTCTCAGGCTTTCTGTGGATGCAGTTATCCACGTGGGCGCCATATGTAATATGAGGGCCGGCTTGTTGGGGTTCTGTTCCCGCCCAGTACCCCACAACTGGCAAGTTCCAGAGAAAATCAATCACACAGAGATCTCTATAAGTTATAAAGCTGATTGACCTATTAGGTCAGGCTTCTTATTAGTCCTTGTAACTTATATTAATCCATTATCATTATCTATGTTAGCCATATGGCTTGGTACCTCTTTCAGCTGTCAGCTCACATGTTGTTGCCTCTTTGGTGGTCTGCACAGGAGTGACGGAGGGAGCTTCCTGTGTCCCAGAATACTCCCAGTCTCTTTGCTCCACCCCTACTTCCTGTCTGGCTTTCCCGCCTATATATACTGCCTGCCTGGCCAATCAGCGTTTTATTAAAATATGATTGACAGAATACAGACAATTCTCCCACACCAATCTACTGGGCAAAATGTGCTTGACAAATTGGGACTAAATGAGCCCAGATGATAATATCCTTCTCTTTGACAAGACATCCTACTCTGTAGGGTGGGCAGTTCCCCCCTCCCCAGATGATGCCACTAGGAAGGCACGAGTAAGGAGCTGGGGATTAGCATATGACTAGCCACAGGCAGGGGAGTTCTGGGGCAAAATAGGAACTCTGCAAGGGTGAAAAACAAGACACTTGAGAATCAGAACTGACATGAAAGAGAGAGGCTTTAGAGGAAACAGAGCCAGTGAACCAGAGAGAAGACAGAACAAGCATTCTAGGGGGAACTACACAGAAGGAGACAAAAGCCATCAAGTTATAAGAGAAGCCCTGTGAGGTGCAGGAGCAGTGTTGTGATAGAGACAGGCACGGGACACCAAACTTTGGGGGACAATACCAGGGGACCTAGACAAGATAACACACAGAGGCTAAATGTTTCCTGGTGAGATTCTCCCCTGAAAAAGAAGGGTTTACTTTTTTTTATCCTAATCCTTTGTAGACATCCGCCATAAACCCCAACAATGCTGAGGGAACCAGGCCATCAAATCTGAACATGGCTTGCAGGCATCCAGCTAAGACCAGGGGAGGAGCAGAAGCCCTTCCCTGCACCAGAGCTGGGCTCGAAGGATAGGGAAGGGCCCCAGACTCCTGGAGGTATTTCACTGAAGTTCTAACACCTAATATAGACAGGAACAGGTGCTTTTAATCAATGCTTCTTAATGATTTAAAGTGTGTGGGGGGGCGGGGGTTCAAATGCACACGAGGGCAGGTGTCTGAGGGGGTCAGAGGTGTCAGATCCCCTTGAGCTGGAGTTTTAGGGAGTTGTCCCTGTTATGGATGTCAGGAACTGACATGAACCAGCTTCCCAACCTGTTTACTCATGAGCAGCAGAAACACACCCCAGAGGCCATGGCTGTGCTCCTGGAGTTAGAGATGCGGTCCAGCAGGAGGTTGTATTGCCTTCGAATGGGGAATTCCTGAGCCCTTCCTGCTCCTCCTGAATCATGACCCAGTAAACGCAGCCCCAGCAGGCCTGCTTGGTGGGACATGCTCACTTCATTTTGTTTGCTTGACCAGACTTAAGGTCACAGAATGCACCCAGAAAATACTCTTCTGTCCTCTGCCATGTTTGCAGGCACAGACACAGCATGGGAAGAGGGATTATTTAGGATTAATTTGTACTGATCTGCTGGGATCCTGTGGGCTCAGTGAGCATGGGCCTCTGGAGGCTACAGGGATGGCTCTGCTAATCGGAATAGTCAGTAGGCTGCACAAATGGGAAGAAATCTTCAACAAGACAATGCTAAGGATCATTTATTTTGGACACAAATAGGAAGCAGTCACAGCATTACAGGCTCTCATCTTCTAAGGGTGCAATTCTAGGGCAAGAAAGTAGCAAGAACGGATTCCGTGGATTCAGAAAAAAACTTCCAGAGGTGGTCAACATTCGTGCTGATGGGTATCGAATCCATCTTTCACCAGCTGTCATCTGTCTACAATACAAATTTGATCATGATTTTCATCTGTTTAGAAAGGTCCAGCTGTTCAGCCCTCACGCTATGCTGGGCAGCTCATTACTGTGTGGATATGGCCTTTTGTCCTGTCCCCACCACCACCTCCACCCCCAACCCCAGACACCACAGCTCTCCATGGCTCTCATCTTCCCATCTGCCAAGAGGGCTGGCTTGTCTCCCACCATCTGAGCTTGCCCTCCTTGTCTAGTGTGCTCTGTGTATCCTACCTTAAGCTTCATCATGCTGGATCTCCACTCTTGCATCTCCCCTGCATCTCCTCAGGCAAAGCTAGTCTCCATTATCAGAACTTAGTAGACACTGGTGCAGCGCTCGTGCTGACACACAGGGCTGATTCTCCAGACTAGTAACATTTACTGCTTAATCTCCATTCTACCACGTGCTACCTGACATATAAAGTATTCAAATGGATGATGGGTCCCACTCACTTCCCTATCTCCCCCTCCCCTGAGCACCTGCTCTCCGGGAGAGTCAGCCCTCTTAGTCTGGGGATGGGAAGAGTGAGATATCCCAGTTAATGGCCATGTGGTCCTTGTCACGGTGACTTGTGTCACTGTAGTCGCTGTGGGAATCTTTGCAGAGGAGAAGGCCACAGAGGCTGTACCCCAGTGTCCTGCTGCCATTTACTTCCAGTTTCTTTCTCTTTGACACATCCAGACTCTTGTGTGCAGTCAATGGACAAAGCAACATAAAACTGTCCCACAAAAGTCCCCTGGACACTCAGTTACTCCTTTGAACATACCTTGACTGGATATGGTAGGTTGAATGGTAATGGCCCCCATGGGCTTATATATATTTGAACACTTATATATATATATATATATATTATTGGCACATTTGTGGATGGTATAGGAGGTGTGGCCTGGAGAGAGGATTGGGGGTGTCAAAGTCCCACACTATTGCCAGTCTTCTTGCTCTCAGCTTCATGATTTTGTGTCAAGATGTAAGTCTTCAGCTACTGCTCCAGCGCCATGCCTGTCTGCCTGCTGCCATGCTCCCCACCATGACGGTCATGGACTCCCTGTCTGAAACTGTGGTCCCAGTAAACTCTTTCTTCTATAAGTTGCCTTGGTCACGGTGTCCCAACAATAGGAAAGCGAGACCCTGACTGTACTCACTGAGGAAACAGGAGATGTGCAGATGTGACCACACCCATTGCTGCAGCACTTCGTTTTCTCAGGGCAGGAATCATCTCCAGTGCAGCTCTCAACACATGTTCCAAAAGTATTTGGGGGCACCTTGGGACAAGCTCCAGGTTTCTGCAATCCTGAAACACATAGTGGTGTTTATGGAATCTGAAGCAGTCGGAAAGACAGGTTGAGAGCTGATGCTAGAGGTCAAAGCCTGGTCACCTGCAGGAAAGCAGCTAATTCTGTATTCTCCTTTGTACCCCAGGGCTCTTCCCTCAGCTTCACCGGCTCCAGTCTCTCTCTGAGGCCTGGGTGTTTCCTGGCCGTGGGAGAGTGTGCTCCCTCCCCAAAGCCTGTACAGTCTCAGAAGAAAGAACCTTCCACCATCACAGCCCCTTCTGTACACCTGAGAAGATGCTGTAAACCCTCTAATGACAGCCAGACCTCTCCCATCCCACCATACCCCATATTCATCTCTGAGCAATGGCTCCTGTGACCCCCACATTCAAGGCACATCTCCAGAGTAGAGGAGCTGCCCTGATCTCTACCCCAGCTTCTGTCAGATCAGCTCTATCTCTCTCTCCCCCCACTCTTTCTCATATAAGAAATGTGGTATGATCACTCAAATAGGTCAAAAGAAGTGAGTTTTGATCCACACAGTAAGCACATGGCTTTCCCTTGTGGCAGCCGAGTCTCAGGCCCTGGTGACCTTTGAGCCCTCTCTACTCTCAGCCTGTATTCCCTTAGCACATTTACCTGTGGTAGAAGACAGAGTACAGGCAATCAAAGCCAGCAGAACCAAGACTGTGGATGTCTTCATGTTGGCTCTGACTGTGTTGAACACATACACATCAATTTATAGTCTCAGCAACTTTAGAAGCACACGTGTGACAGGAGGCAAGCAATCAGCAAGTACAGAAAAAAGGAACTCTTCAGAAAGTGCCTGCGGCTATCCTGGCTCCTTCTGTTTCGTAACTGGCTTCTCTCTAAAGACAACGAGAACATTGTTTCTTGATAGGTAGGCTAGATAACCAGGGGGAAATCTAAGTATGTTTGAACACTGAGCTCCTCCTTACAGAACAGCTTAACCCTTTATGAATGGTGAGCAAAGGACAGCTCAGAGTGGGAACTGAAGCAGAGAGGCCGCCATGGAATGTCAGGGCCATCTGGGTTTTCCCCGACATCCAGTTCTGTCAGGCTGTAGCCTGCTTCTGGGAGAGACGGTGCTTGTGTCGTTTGGAGCTCTACAGATGAGATCCCTAAACAATTGTGGAATTTATTCCCCCTCTAACCTGCAGAAGTAGGCAATGAGGTTTCCCCTGGAAGAGAGGGATACTCAAAGATTTCCAAGTGACTATAGCCAGTACAAAGCAGGCAGGCTCTGCTGTGATGGTTGGTCTTCTTAGACCCATGCTTTTCTGTAAGACAGGACTTTAGAAAGAAGGCCGCACTGGTGAGCAGAGGAGGAATGGGAGGCACAGGAGAACATGGCGCATCCCTGGTTGCTGAAGAGAGTGCCTGTCTCTTTTGTTGTCCCAATTATAGACTCCCAAGAAAGAGCTGAAGTGGAAAAATGCCAACAGCTGTGCGGATGCCATAGCCATCATGTGGCTGCCTTTGGAGTTATCTTTGCAGGTTACTTCTCAGGGACGGGGGTGGGGGGGGGCGTTTAGCCACAAGCTTTGCTCCATGTGTTTCCAGTCCTTCCTTCCGATTGAGGAAAACAATCTTGGTGCCTGTAACTTTTCCTATTCTGCTGTGTGCATCCTATGTCAGAAACAAAGGCAAATCATGTGTGTTTGTTTATAATGTCATAATTTATGGAATAACCATAAATTCATTCATAAGATCCAGCAGCTGTTTTCTATTTACTAATTCTTTTCTTTTTTTTTCTTGTGACAGGGTTTATCTGTGTAGTACCTGGCTGTCCTGGAACTCACTCTGTAGATCATTCTGGTCTCCAGCTCATAGAGAGCAGCTTGCCTCTGCCTCCTGACTGCTGGGATTAAAAGCATGGGCCACTACTACTTGGTTTAAGACAAACCAGTTTTAGTGGAAGAAACTGGCCAGGCAGTTTTTCTTTCCCTTGTAACCCTGGCCAATGCAAACACACTTTCTTTTATTCCAACCTAAATTACTAATACTAACTCTTAATCACATATTACACAAAACACCGTAAATATACCGCTCCATCAATATACAAATATGTACTTACATGTGCTATAGAAATGGCTGTAAAGGGTTAATAGACCACAGAAGAATTCAAGAGATTTTAGAAGTCCCGAGGAACAGAAAAACAGAAGAATCTAGGTTTAAGCTAGATTGACAAGGTAATGACCCAGGGTGGAGAGGAGAGTCTGGAGAAACTATGGTGACTGCAGGTCAGGTCACATCAGGTCACCTGTTTGAAAACAGAGCTGTAAAGTTGAGTTTGGCTGCAGAAGCAAAGAGCAGGATTAGCCTGGATGAAGGAACCGGAGATCAGATGGATGGCAGATCCAGGTGATGAACAAAAATTAGACGGAGGAAGGAGCTATAAAAGGAGATCAAGAGTAGGGCAATAGGGCCATCCGAAAAATTCCACCCTGGCCCTGAAGCCAGAGTCAGCCCGCAAAACAAAACAGCAAAAAACTCACCCTGGCCCTGAAACCAGAGTCACTGAAAGAAACAAGTTGGCCCTCAAACCAGAACCAAAGAAACATAGTCTGACCCTGAGCCAGAGCCAAGGAAACATACTTTGGCCCTAAGACGAGAGCCAGTGAAAGAAACACACCCTGGTTCTGAAACTGTTAGGGTCTTAAAGAAGTCCCACAAAGACCACCAGACTTGTATGCAATTAGCAAGAGTGTTTAATGTTCAAGATAAAAGGAGATCCAGCATGCAGAGGCCACACACCTGACACAAAGGTGAAATGGGAATGACCCCAAGACAAGCTCCAGGCTCTTTTTATACACAGCTAAAGGAATTCTAAAGAAAGTGAGGTCATTCTATCTAGGATTGGCTTACATGAGTGCCAATCAGACTAATACATTTCTGATTGGTTAGGGTTAGCAGGGGAGGACTAAAGCTATAGTCTTTGCAATTTTGGGCAGGCTTGGACAAATCCCAGGATCTGTCCTTTTTTGGTCATTGCCTTGAGGTACTGAGAGGCTGGCTTAGGTCTGGTAACTGCAGTTTCCCTGATGACCTCACCATCAGGGGCATTGGTGATGGATTGTACATAGTCCATGGCTTCCTCAGAAACTGCTTGTTTAGTTTCAAGAGGCAGGAACTGAGGCCTAATTTTTAAGTGAGTTATTAGAATCTTGGTATGGTATGAGATCCTGACGCTCTCAAAAGTAGAGCCAAAAGGTTAAAAACAGTCCAATGAAAGAAACACACTTTGGCCCTGAACCGGAGCCAAATCTGCCCTTGACTAACCGAACATGAAACCTACCAATTCCTGAGAAGAAACCCTACCAATCCTTGAGCAGAAAATCTAGACAATCAGAGCTTATTTTAGCTCAAGGGGACCAAAATCTGACCAATTCCCTCTCTGACAACCTCTGTCCCTAAGAAGGTCTACATAGCCCCTCTGCCTGTGCAGTTGGCAGCTGTCCTTCTCTATCCTGCAGAGGCAGCCACTCTTCTGGACTCCTCCTTCCCAGATAAATCTACTGAAAGAGTTTTGGGTGAAGATCTTTCTCCAGTGAGGAGCAGAATCTCTGCTGGGAAGCTCCCTTAGGGGAGCAGAGCAGAAGTAACAACTTTTCACCAGAGGCAGGGCAGATTGCTACGTTTCTGCAGAAGTTTTCCATTAGCAGAGTGAAGCAGAAGTACCATCTTGGGCCTGAGCTGAGAAGAAATGGATACGGATACCTCTGCTGGGAAGCTGCATTATGGGTGCAGAGCAGAGCTCATCTGTGATGGTTCTCTCTCTCTCTCTCTCTCTCTCTCTCTCTCTCTCTCTCTCTCTCAGAGAGGAGCAGGACTGCCACATCCTGCAGGGAGCGCATCCCTGACTGGGCCCCAGCTTCAGGTATAGCCTGACTCCCTGACAAGTGAGGATACCTTTCTCCTCACAGTGCAGGTGCCCAGCATGCCTTCCCTTCACAGCTGTAGGTGGAGCCTGACTCCCTGACAAGTCAGGATACCTTTTCCTCTAGAGCTGTAGGTATCCAGGATACTTCCTTCACTAGCTGTAGGCAAAGCCTGACTTTCAAATAAGTCAGGATACCTTTTTCTCTGAAGCTATAACACTGGCATGGGGGTGAGAGTGGAGTAGATGTGCACATGAGGGTAGATGCCTGAGGACACCAGAGGTGTCAATATGCCGGAAGCAGGAGTTATAGAAAGTTGTCAGCCACCTGTAATAGATGTTGGGAACTGACCTCAGGTCCTCTGAAAGAGCAGCATGTGCTACTAACCCCTGAACCTACTGCCCAAGCCTATTAAGTCTTGCTAAGCAGAACTCACAACCCAGATGTCCTGGTCATACTCCTGGCGTAGGAGATCCAGTCCAGCAGGAGGCTGTGCTGCCTTTGTATGGGGAATTTCCTGAGCCCTTCCTGCTCCTCCTGAATCATGACCCAGTAACACAGCCCCAGCAGGCCTGCTCAGTGGTACAGACTTACTTCATTTTGTTTGCTTGACCAGACTTAAGGTCACAGAAAGCACCCAGAAAATATTCTTATGTCCTCTGCCATGATTGTAGGTACAGACACTGCAGGAGAAGAGGGATTATTTAGGAACTACTTGTCCTCTATCCTGGGACCTAGGTGTTAATGGGTCTCTCTGGAGGCTACTGGGATGGCTCTGCTAATTGGAAAAGTCAATAGGATGCACAAATGGGAAGAACTCATCAGCAGGAGAATGCTAAAGAGGTTTTATTTTGAACACAAAGACTGGGAAACAGTGACCACATTGTAGTCTTGCATCTTCTAAGGATGCAGTTCTAGGATGAGGGAGTAGCAGGCCTGGCTCCTTGGATTCAGAATCTTCTGGGGCTGATCATCAGTCATGCTAATAAGCATCGAATCCATCCTTCTCAGGGCTGCCAGCCTTCTACAATACAAATTTGATCATGATTTTCATTTGTTTAGAAAGGTCCAACTGTTCAGCTCTCACGCTATGCTGGGCCGCTCATTACTGTTTGGATGTGGCCTTGTTGTCCTGTCCCCACCACTATCCCAGACACCATAGCTCTCCAGGGTAATCATTTCTCCATCTCCCAAAAAAGGTCTCCAAATCTTCCACCTTCTCAACTTGCATTCCTTGTCTGGTGGGCTCTGTGTAACCTGACTTAACTTTCTCCTTATTGATCTCACTCGTGCTACCTTCCTCCTCCAATCCTGATGCCAGGCAAAGCTGGTCACCATTATCAAAATGTCGCAGAGACTGGTGCAGCTCTCATACTGGCCCCACGTCTGTTTCTCTAGTTACATTTACATTTTACTCTCATCCTGCACAGGCCTACCTATTGCATAAGGCATTCAAATGAACGAGTATTTCCATTTACCTCATTGTCTCTGTCCCTCCCAGGAAAGCTTGCTCTCTGGAAGAGTCAGCCTTCTTAGTCTAGGGATGGGAAGAGTGCGCTATCCCAGTTAATGGCCATGTGGTCCTTGTCACGGTGACTTGTGTCACTGTAGTCGCTGTGGGGATCTTTGCAGAGGAGAGGCCACAGAGCCTGTACCCCAGTGTCCTGCTGCCATTTACTTCCAGTTTCTTTCTCTTGGTCACATCAAGACCCTTGTGCGCAGTCAGTGGACAAAGCAGCATGAGACTGTCCCACTAAAGTCCCCTGGAAAGTCACTACTTCCTTGAATATATCTTGAAAGGATTTGATGGTTTGAAAAGTTAAGTCACAAAAAAGTGTGTATATTTGCATTTTCGGTGCATAGTTGTTGGAGCTTATG